GGCGACGCATCTGTGACTGAATCGATGGTTTTCGGGAGAAACTTCTCCCGGAAGCGTTCATCAGAATCTGAAGAGCATCTGGACCAGTTTTCTCTGATGATGCACGCTGGTTTCGTCTACTTACCACCGTCACCTGTGGTCCATACGAGTCCTCATCATACTCCAATCCAGTAGAAGTTATTTCCCTGTCAGAAATTGAAAGTGCCTCCCCCGGAGAACGTTCTCGCTCGACGCTTCAATTCGGTGGCCGAGGGAGTTTTGTAAAAATTCATGAATTTTTGAAAAAATTCATGAAATTTTGTAAAATTCCAGGAATTTTGTAAAAATTCATAGAACTTTGTTAAAATTCAGGGAATTTTGTAAAAATTAATGGATTTTTTTTTAAATTCATGGAATTTTGTAAAAATTTATGGAATTTTGTAAAAATTCATTGAATTTTGTAAAAATTCATGGAATTTTGTAAAAATTCATAGAATTTTGTAAAAATTCATGGAATTTTGTAAAAATTCATGGAATTTAAAAAAAAAAATCATGGAATTTAGTAAAAAGTCAGAGAATTTTGTAAAAATCAGGGAATTTTGTAAAAATTCAGGAAATTTTGTAAAAATTCAGGGAAATTTGCAAAAATTCAGGGAACTTTGCAAAAATTCAGAGAATTTTGCAAAAATTCAGGGAATTTTTTAAAAATTCAGGGAATTTTATAAAAATTCAGAGAACTTTGTAAATATTCAGGGAATTTTGCAAAAATTCAAGAAATTTTGTAAAAAATCAGAGAATTCAGTAAAAATCAGAGAATTTTGTTAAAATTCGGGGAATTTTGTAAAAATTCAGGGAATTTTGTAAAAATTCGGGGAATTTTGTAAAAATTCAGGGAATTTTGTAAAAATCAGGGAATTTTGCAAAAATTCAGAGAACTTTATAAAAATTCAGGGAATTTTGCAAAAAATCAGGGAATTTTGTAAAAATTAAGGGAATTTTGTAAAATTCAGGGAATTTTGTAAAAATTCAGGGAATTTTGTAAAAATTCAGGGAATTTTGTAAAAATTCAGGGAGTTTTGTAAAATTTCAAGGATTTTTTTTTAAATTCGGGAAATTTTGTAAAAATTCAGAGAATTCAGTAAAACATCAGGGAATTTTGTAAAAATTCAGGGAATTTTTAAAAATTTAGAGAATTTTGAAAAATTCAGGATTCTTTGTAAAAATTCAGGGATTTTTTTTTAAATTTAGGGATCTTTGTAAAAAATCAGGAAACTTTAAAAAATCAGGAAATTTTGAAAAATCAGGAAATTTTGAAATATCAGGGAATTTGGTAAAAATTCAGCGATATTAGTTATAAATCAGGGAATTTTGTCAAAATTCAGGGAATTTTGTCAAAATTCAGGGAATTTTGTAAAAATTCAGAGATTTTTTTTTTAAATTCACGGAATTTTGTAAAAATTCAGGGAATTTTGTAAAAATTCAGGGAATTTTGTAAAAATTCAGGGAATTTTGTAAAAAATCAGGGAATTTTGTAAAAAATCAGGGAATTTTGTAAAAATTCAGGGAATTTTGTTAAAATTCAGGTAGTTTTGTTAAAATTCAGAGAATTTTGTTAAAATTCAGGGAATTTTGTTAAAATTCAGGGAATTTTGTTTAAATTCAGGGAATTTTCTTAAAATTCAGGGAATTTTATGAAATTTGGTAAAATTCAGGAAATTTGGTAAAATTCAGGAAATTTGGTAAAATTTCAGGGAATTTTGTAAAAATTCAGGATATTTTGTAAAAGTTCAGGGAATTTTGTAAAAGTTCAGGGAATTTTGTAAAAGTTCAGGGAATTTTGTCAAAATTCAGGGAATTTTGTAAAAATTCAGGGAATTTTGTAAAAATTCAGGGAATTTTGTAAAAATTCAGGGAATTTTGTAAAAATTCAGGGAATTTTGTAAAAATTCAGGGAATTTTGTAAAAATTCAGGGAATTTTGTAAAAATTCAGAGAATTTTGTAAAAATTCAGAGAATTTTGTAAAAATTCAGGGAATTTTGTAAAAATTCAGGGAATTTTGTAAAAATTTAGGGAATCTTTTAAAAATTCAGGGAATTTTGTAAAAATACAGGAAATTTTGTAAATATTCAGGGAATTTTGTAAAAAATAAGGGAATTTTGTAAAAATTCAGGGAATTTTGTAAAAATTCAGGGAATTTTGTAAAAAATCAGGGAATTTTGTAAAAAATCAGGGAATTTTGTAAAAATTCAGGGAATTTTGTTAAAATTCAGGGAGTTTTGTTAAAATTCAGAGAATTTTGTTAAAATTCAGGGAATTTTGTTAAAATTCAGGGAATTTTGTTTAAATTCAGGGAATTTTCTTAAAATTCAGGGAATTTTATGAAAATTCAGGAAATTGTTTAAAATAAAGGGATTTTTTTTTAAATTCAGGAAATTTGGTAAAATTTCAGGGAATTTTGTAAAAATTCAGGATATTTTGTAAAAGTTCAGGGAATTTTGTAAAAGTTCAGGGAATTTTGTAAAAGTTCAGGGAATTTTGTCAAAATTCAGGGAATTTTGTAAAAATTCAGGGAATTTTGTAAAAATTCAGGGAATTTTGTAAAAATTCAGGGAATTTTGTAAAAATTCAGGGAATTTTGTAAAAATTCAGGGAATTTTGTAAAAATTTAGGGAATCTTTTAAAAATTCAGGGAATTTTGTAAAAATACAGGAAATTTTGTAAATATTCAGGGAATTTTGTAAAATTCAGTGAATTTTGTAAAAATTCAGGGAATTTTGTAAAAAATAAGGGAATTTTGTAAAAATTCAGGGAATTTTGTAAAAATTCAGGGAATTTTGTAAAAATTCAGGGAATTTTGTAAAAATTCAGGGAATTTTGTAAAAATTCAGGGAATTTTGTAAAAATTCAGGGAATTTTGTAAAAATTCAGGGAATTTTTTAAAAAGTCAGGTAATTTTGAAAAAAATCATTGAATTTTGTAAAAATTCAGGGAATTTTGTAAAAGTTCAGGGAATTTTGTAAAAATTCAGGGAATTTTGTAAAAATTCAGGGAATTTTGTAAAAATTCAGGGAGTTTTGTAAAAATTCAGGGAATTTTGTAAAAATTCAGGGAATTTTGTAAAAATCAGGGAATTTTGTAAAAATTCAGAGAATTTTGTAAAAAATCAGGGAATTTTGTAAAAATTCAGGGAATTTTTTAAAAAGTCAGGTAATTTTGAAAAAAATCATTGAATTTTGTAAAAATTCAGGGAATTTTGTAAAAGTTCAGGGAATTTTGTAAAAATTCAGGGAATTTTGTAAGAATTCAGGGAATTTTGTAAATATTCAGGGAATTTTGTAAAATTCAGTGAATTTTGTAAAAATTCAGGGAATTTTGTAAAAAAATAAGGGAATTTTGTAAAAATTCAGGGAATTTTGTAAATATTCAGGGAATTTTGTAAAATTCAGTGAATTTTGTAAAACTTCAGGGAATTTTGTAAAAAAATAAGGGAATTTTGTAAAAATTCAGGGAATTTTGTAAAAATTCAGGGAATTTTGTAAAAATTCAGGGAATTTTGTAAAAATTCAGGGAATTTTTTAAAAAGTCAGGTAATTTTGAAAAAAATCATTGAATTTTGTAAAAATTCAGGGAATTTTGTAAAAGTTCAGGGAATTTTGTAAAAATTCAGGAAATTTTGTAAAAATTCAGGGAGTTTTGTAAAAATTCAGGGAATTTTGTAAAAATTCAGGGAATTTTGTAAAAATCAGGGAATTTTGTAAAAATTCAGAGAATTTTGTAAAAAATCAGGGAATTTAATAAAAATTCAGGTAATTTTGTAAAAATTAAAGTTATTTAAAAAAATAAGGGAATTTTGTTAAATTCAGGGAATTTTGTAAAAATCCAGAAAATTTTATAAAAATTCAGGTAATTTTGTAAAAACTCAAGTTATTTTGTAAAGATTAAGTTAATTTTGAAAAAAAAATCATGGAATTTTGTAAAATGCAGGGAATTACGTAAAAATTTAGTGAATTTTGTAAAAAATCAGGAAATTTTCTAAAAATTCAGGGAAATTTATAATTTTGTAGTGAAATCTCGTCTGCAGGTATTAATTGACCTGCAGACGAGATTTCACTACAAAATAACAAAATTGAGATACAATTAAAATCGTAATTGATGGCTGCTTATTAGACCAAGTTTACCAAGCAGACCAAGTCCATGTGCTTAAGGAATTTATGAATTCTCGTCAACTTAGCAGCATCCGCGCTTCTATTAGCATTTTTTCACCGTCACACGCTCATATGACGGGTTTGCTAGTTTGCATTTATTTGCTGCTTCCAATCTACAGAAATATCCAAAACAGTTTGAAAACGTTTTTACAGCGCTTGAAACAACTTTGGTGAGTGTGATTTAAAGACAAATCCGGTATAATAGGATTGAAGCTGAAAAACTTAGGAATCTTTTAAATACATTCAGCGTTGATAGGAAAATATAGTGAAATTAACGTTGTAATTTTGGATGCCAAAAACAGTTGATGTCTAAATGTGCCAGTTACGAAACTAATGCTTCAGTTTTTGCCGCTAGGCCTAACTCAAATTTTAAATAAATTTGGTACAGAATTTATAAAATTTAAAATTCAGATAGGTTTAATCACACTATAAAATATATTTTTCAAAAAAGGGAATTTTTGGACGGCGCACAGTGCACAGTTATTAAAAGAGAAAGTCGATGAAGAGAATCGATCAAAGCAGATTGAACCTTTTTAAATGTTTATCGACAATTGCTAAGAGAAATAGTTTACAATTACAGTTTACAGAAACATAATTTACAGTTTGGAAATTTTACAAAAGCTTGCATTTTTTATATGCTTTAAAATAAAAACTATGTTACCAAATTATTATAATAGGATAATAATTGTTATTAAAATTTAAACTTTACGCCTCTGTCCAACTAAAAACTTGCCTGAATAACTCTTTGCTTTGAAATAAGTCTATTCCTAGATAACATAAAAATACTGATGGCTACACATAAGGCCTCAACTTACCCTGTCCTGATCGAAGAACAAATTCAAACGTTGAAATTTATCACTCGCATCTTGCACAACGTCATCCACATGGCCAGTGGGTAATGGTGCGAACGAGACCTTTTCTTTCACCTCATCGTCCACAGATTTGATGATATCCTGTTCAATTTCCTCCTCAGTAACCGGATCACTGCAAAACCAACGAAAAAAAAATATTGAAAAATCACGTTGATGGCGACCGTCCTCAACTCAGCCTTTCAACACTTTTCAACAAATCATTTCCTACCCAACGCCCTCGACCTGAGCCGTGACGATTTTTTGCTCTTCCTCTTGCCCCTGTTCGGATGAAGTCGACTGCCGTGCATCACCAGCTTCGTCCTTCTCCACCGATGACTGGGAGGCCTGTCTTCGTTCAATCAAGTCCAACGCCTGCAATTGGATCTCCACATTCCGTTGCGTCATCATGCGGATAAAGATCCGAATATCGTTAGCTGCCCAAATCTGCTGGAACAATCCCTGGTGGAAGGAGAATGAGCTGCCATCCTTGTCGCCATTACGAGCCGGAGACTGGGACATGGCGGCCGAATTACGACCCTCCAGGCAGGCAAACTCAAACTGTTCCGGCGTGATTTGCATTTCCTCCATGAACGAACCGAGCATGTAGTCGACCAGATTTTTGTACTCATCGTGAACCTTGCGGAATTCGGGATTGTTCTCGTCGGGTTTCTCATTCGGATCGAAAACTGCAATTACCAACCAAACCCATTAATTATGCACATGTATCGACGTCAGCGTCGCGACGTTCGTTTTTCCTGAACGGAGAAAAAAGATCGTTATCCTTACTTATCGATTTATCCTCGATGAACGTTTGAAGTGGTGCATTCCAAACTGGACCATGTAGGAAGCAAACCAACGAATCAAACACCCAGGAATTATCCTCTGCCATTATGTTGTGCGATGGTCCAATACGGTTCTGCCCTACGGAGGTTTTCGACTTGTCACCTTTTCCTTTTCGAAGACCGTTCTCCACTACATGTAGGTAATGTTACAAATGTGCACTAACCCGATTTCGGTTCTAAGTTCAAGAGCGCCAATGCGGGAAATGTGTTTGTTGCACGTGGTTCCCAAGGAGACGATATTTGACGTTCATTCATGGTGGAGAACGCCCGCATCGCATCGGGGTTATTGAAATTTACCTTTGATATTCAAGAAGCGGGTGCTTACCGTGTAAATGCGGTAAGTGCTATTATGATACAATCTCATATACGCAGTGGTTCCAATTTTGGCTCTACTCCATTTAAACTCATAACTGGTGCAATTTTAAAGTAGTGCCATAACTGATGCAGCTTCCCTATCAGAATGTATAAATGAATGGGATAATAAATATTCATTACTTCCTTTTGATACGTCGAAGTTGAACACCAATGTCACAATTGAAATACCCACCAATTTGCTATAGGAACCACTTAAGGTGGTCTAAAAATAGACAAAAAATATCAAGACTACTTGAATGAACCAAACGAAAAAGTCTGCTTGCAAGCTTTGACGTAGGTCATGACTGACTAGTCTGAACGTTTTCTACTTTCACAATATTATAGGAATATGAATCCATTACAGTCACGTGAATTGAATTAACATTTAATTCGTATGTGTAAATAGCAATAGCGTTTTCACACTTAAGTTACACAAATTTTAATTTTAATGGTGATGCAAACTAGTTACTTGCAAGAAATGTTGCTTATAAAGATGGACGGTTGCATACAATATTTGGAATATTTCATTAATTGTCTCATAAACTTACACGATTTATAATATAAATTTGTTTGATACATGACGCTCCAGTTATGTGCATCATAGTATTAGAAATTTACATTACTTTATCGAACTGTGTACTCATGCAGATATGGATTCATAGACATCTTTTATTCGGTAATTCAATTAATCATGTTACAATGCCTCTGCGGTAACTTCCTTTCAGATGTCACTGCTATTCATAATGTACACATCTATCGGAAATTACGCATTCACATATTTCCGTTAATTGTTAACAGAGGACAGTGCGGTCAAAACATGTATGGTACCTCGTCATGAGTTGATGGGTCGATAGGAAGGGTCCAGGTGTGGGAGCTGCCTTTCTGGTGTCGGTAGCATTGGTGCTCACCACGGAAAACAAGATCGACGGAAAAAAAAAAGCTCAAGGAAAAGAAACAATACCAAGTCGTTGTGCGTGTTGAAAAGCATGTTTTTAAGGATTGTGTTACAATACTCCGAATGCCGGTACCCCAAATGTCATATGCCTCAAGGCCATTACCCTCGAGTGAGATTCAAACCTTCTTTTGATTGCGGTTCGTTCTTTTCACATTATGGGGAATGTTGACATTCGTGGTAACGGTATTCAGGGTAATGTAGCTCAATCAATACATCGGATATACATTTCCCAGGACTCATAATTAAGCCTCAAATGAATTAATTTAATTTGAACCTCACTTATCTGCACGCCGTGCAAACTAAAAATTGTTCAAGCTTCAGTTAGCACATGGCGAGTAAGTAAGGTGAAATGCAACATTTTGAAACGGAACGCAGAATTCTAATCTTATCTAATCTAACACCAACACAGCCAGTTCTTAAAGGATCGTGGAAAATGATGGATATACCTACATCATGTTTCTTGTCTATTTGATATATGTTTCACATCAAAGATGCGTCACACATATCAAAACGGCCAGGCCTACTGTGCAGCATTTAAGGGGCAAGATGATTCAGAAAACATCGGGCCTGTTTAAATCGAAGATTCAAACACGATGCTTCAGAATCCAATAAATGGATGAAACGTGGACATCTCGTACCGTACGTTCCGATTTAGGTAATTATATGATTGGTTGGTCGTTGGAAGCATCAAAGCTAGAAAGGTTAAGTGATGGTCCATTTTCTTCTGACGGTTGGGGCATGAGCTCTAACTCATGTCCTAGACTGTTATGCCTTATGGCTATAGCGCCATTACTCGCTTTCTGAAAAGAGAAGAGAGGAAGGAAAGTAGGACAAAGGAAAAAGGATTATGTGAAATCTATGAACATAAACAATATTTTTGATTTGAAATATACAATACCCGAGTCTGGTCATTATTATCAAGTCATAAAATGTAACAAGGACTAAAATGTGATCCTTTGATTACTGGAAAATCCTGATTCCCTAGTTTGAAGTTGTCACGACTAGGGTTCGGTGGTAGATCTTATACCAGTAGCGCACCACAAAAAGGTGATCTTCCAACGTTACTGGTTTGAAAAGATAAAAATTTACAAAATGCAACGAACTCACCAAGTTTAGCCAATTGATCGTGAAGGCTGCCTGACATGTGTTGATGTAGAAGTCCAAATTGTAGACGAAGCTTGACGAAGATCAACATGAGCTAGTCCGGTTTATGATAGTTGCTGGGAATGTATTCCTTTGATTTGAGATAAACAAATGTTCGGATGTATGTAGTCGATTTTTGATGTGCATTGGCAAGCCTTTTCGTGGCCAATAGTCAGGTTCAACGCTGCTACTCAACGAACAGCTTATCAGCGGCAAAAAATAGGGACCTAGAATGAGGAACTAGAAATTTTTTCCTGGGCCTGGTTATGGCCAGATCAGCAACCGATTATAGATATAAAAAAAACTCCACGGAAAAAACAAACGTCAGATTCGAACACACGCACAGCCTACTCTCCCATTTTGAAACGGTGAGCAGAATTAAAACAAAACAGCAAATAAAGCTCAGAAACACACTTTTCTGGATAGGCATAGAGTTACTAGAAGTTCAAATAAAAAATGAAATGATGTTGGGAAAATTGTCAGTACAATACAGTGCTGCAAAATATACAAAATGCTGAATGTCATTAGCCACCTGATGTCAGTATCAGTTTACACAAAGGGACTGCTAAGCCAGAATTTTTCGGTTGGCTGCTATTTTTCACTCACACACTTACAACCAACGCAACACAAACCCATACGGTGTAAGCGACAGTTGTTAAATATACAATACAGCCGCAAAGTTTGTATGTGTTGTTCAAGTTTGTTATGGGCCATAAATGTATAGACTAGAGTCGGTGTATAATGAGTCACGCCAAGAGAAAAATAGTTGAACTCGCATCACGGTTTTCGAAAGATTCCATTTCTTTTCACTTGGCAACAGAGGACTGCTACATCAACTTCAAATGACTTCTAGCGAGCAAAAAAAAATAGCGGCTGCTGTAAATCACTATATCAGTGATTTTGTCCAATCATCTCAACAAAAATAGTAGAAATTCTCATTACTGATCGTTACCAATCGATTGTATCCCATGACAATTTAATGATCACTGTGTGTTTATGATCATTTCTTCGATTATATTTTATATTTTATTGCAATACCTTTCGTGGACCTTTCATAGCATCGTAATGTTTGTTTACTTTGCACGATAGGTAGCCGGTTTGACAGTTCAATAGGTAGACTTGGCTTCACTCTTGGCGTGACTCATTATACACCGACTCTAGTATAGACCAGTTAAGAGGGTACTGTCAAATTTGTGAAATCTCATAGTGGAAACATTTGATGACAGTCCCGTGGTTTACACAGTTAGAATATCAATGTCATACGCCTCAATGTCAGTGCACAAAGACATTGACATCGTAAAGGGAGCACTGATATTCAAATTTCTAGCGCATTTTTGACGTAGGGCTACGTCTTTGTGGACTATACTGGGGCGCAAATAAAACAAAATGTGTGACAAAATAGTGTCAGGTTTTGAACTCTTATAACATGGTCATTTATAAATAAAATCCAATTTTAATTACACTATTTTACTCAGGTTGAATCTCGGTTAGATGCACCTGCACTAACTCGATTCGTGGCTACTTGTCTCCAATTTCTTGACCGTCCCACACTTCCTAGATCTTGCTTCACTTGGTCCAACCACCTTGCTCGCTGTGCTCCTCTGCATCTTATACCGGCCGGATTCGAGGCAAACACCACTTTTGCGGGATTGTTGTCCGGTATTCTTACAACGTGTCCCGCCCATCGTACCCGTCCAGCTTTCGCGACTTTCTGGATCTTGGGTTCGCCATAGAGTTGCGCTAGCTCGTGGTTCATCCTTTTCCTCCATACACCGTTCTCACATACCCCGCCAAAGATGGTTTTAAGCACTCGTCGTTCGAAAACACCCAGTGCTTTCAGGCCCTTCTACAGTATTGTCCACGTCTCGTGCCATTAGCGAACTACCGGTCTTATCAGCGTCTTGAACATGGTACATTTAGTACGGGGGTGAAGTTTACCCGACCTCAGGGTCTTGTGTAGTCCGTAGTAAGCACGACTTCCAGCAATTATGCGTCTACGAATGTCTCTGCTGCAGTTGTTATCCGACGTCACCAATGATCCGAGGTACAAAAATTCATCCACCACCTCGAACTCATCTCCGTCGATTGTCACGCTTCTGCCTATGTGAGTCCTATCGCGCTCGGATCCTCCAGCTAACAAATGCTTTGTCATCGACGTATTCACCTATAATCCAACCTTCTCTGCTTCACGTTTCAGCCTGGTTTATTGCTCCGCCACGGCCTGAAACGTTCTTCCGACAATGTACACGTCGACAGCGAAGCAGATGAACAGGCTGGCAGTGAACAGTGCGCGCACTGTTGAACAGGAGGCAGGAAAGACCATCGCCTTGTCGAAGTCCTTTGCGAATTCCAAACGGCTCCGATAACGCACCCGATATCTTCACACAGCACTGTACACCATCCATCGTAGCCCAGATCAGTCTGGTCAGCTTCCCGGGAAAACCATGCTCGTCCATTATCTTCCATAGCTCTTCACGGTCAATGGTATCATAAGCGGCCTTGAAAGCGTAGGGACATGATATTCACGACATTTCTGGAGGATCCACCGCAACGTAAAGATTTATTCCGTTGTCGATCGCCCGTCCACAAAACCGGCTTGATAACTCCCCACAAATCTGCTTGCTAGCCTAAGTAACATTGATCGATTCTCTTCATCGACTTTGTATTTCGTGATAAATTGAGCACATAACCGTTTCTTGTTGTGTTGGTCGTATTAGATGCTAGATAAAAGCTACTTTTATCGATATGTGTGCTGAAAATCCTTGGGACTGTCTTTACATGGTCGACGAAGAGAATCTGTCAATGTTACTTAGGATCTAATCCAATTTTAAGCTTGAAATGCATGTTTGGCTAGCCGGTATTCAAATGTTTTGTGTTGGTATGCTGTCGAAGACAATGATCACGTCCACGCCAGATGAACAGAAACGACATCGGTCGTTAAAACGCTTCCGATTCCGTTTGGACACTCGTTTGGACCACGCTGGTCGATCTATTTGGATGGGAAGTGCCGCAGGGAAGCGATTCACTACAATGGCAACGTGATCTACATATTGTACACCATTTCGAATCAGACGCTTCCCTGCGGGAGGAAGGTCTACTGCATCTGGGTAAGCCGGGATCCGGATTCATCGTACAACAACCTGGAGAATGAGAACAAGCATCAGAATCTGACGTTGACGTTCAACAGCGTGACTAGTACCATAGAGGTAACTCTTAGACCAGAAGGTCCCGAAGAAACGTGCTCAACTTTTTGGCTCAGCTCTGGTACTATCTTCGATCCCAAGCTAATCGATGCATCTCTCGGAACATAGGAAAATCCACGAGCCCCTCATTTTATCTGTCTAACTTTCATAGCGAATCAAAACAAACATAGTGTAGTACTAGAATTTCAACAAGAATGGGGTACGTTATTCGATTTGCTTGGGACCAATAGGCTAGTCAAGTAGTGAGCCAATTTCAAATCGATAGTTTAGTATTGATTGTTGCTAGTACGGTGGAAAATTCGCTTGGGCAGACCATCAAGAATACTGCTACTGGCCAGCACTCGGATCGGTCCAGTTCCGTCTCTCGTATGTCGCAGTGCGATGAAGATTTCATCCACGGCGAGTACAGCAAATATTACAAGCTGGTAAGGCACATCGGGAAGGGCGCGTACGGGTATGTGAAGTTGAGCTACCGGAACTCGAATAGGTTGCTGGTGATATCGAAGGAGAACCTCGTCCCGCAGATTATAATTAAAACCTAGGAGAAGCGGGAAATTTCCGACGGAAGTGTACCTGTTGACGCACGTGAATAGTTCGATTGGTTTGAATACGACAAGTTCTTCCAGGTTGTGATGGAAATCCACGGCTCCGAGATGAATCTTCTTCTTCTGCGCATTTCAAGATTATTATTATTATTATTCTTTTGCTTTATTATAGAGACTTTCAGCCCTTAGCTGATTCGTCTCTTCTCAACCTTATTGCTTACACGCAAAGAAATGATTTTTAAATTCAAATCGATATATTTTTGGCTCAGGGCCTAATATATTATTGGTATTGATTCAAATATATTATTCGGTTAATTCAAAGAAAAATATTTTTGAATTAACAAGCCGGTTGTAGCATAGAGGTAACTCTAAGACCACTGGGTCCCGAAGAAAATCATTATTATTTTTGGCTCACTCAGTACCAGAACAACGGTCCCAAGCAGTCCCAAGCTATTTCACTCACCCCTGCATGTTCTGCATGAATCCACACACCCCTGATGTTATCTGTCAAACTTTCATAGCGAATCAAAACAAACATAGTGTAGTAATAGAATTTCAACTAGAAAAGGGTACGTTAATCGTTTGCTTGGGACCAATAGGCTACTAAAGTGGTGAGCCAATTTAAAATCGTTAGTTTCGTATTGATTGTTGATCATACTCTATGCCAGCGAAGTCGAGACATTTTCCAACCCGAAAAATTCCTAAACCGGACTGGGAATCGAACCCAGCCACCTCCAGCATGATCTTGCTTGCAGCTGCGCCTTTACCGACTGATCTAAGGGAGGTCCGGGATGGATCACTCGTTGAACATTCTGCACAGGGACGATCAAATCACAATTTCCATATCAAGCTGATTGGATCACCATCCAAGAACTACAGTTTTGCCAAACCCGTACCCGTAGATGCGAATATCTGCTCCAGCCATACGGGATCACATCACTCTACGTTGCTTATTGTTTATTTACGCGGTGATGAGAACGGCGCTGATCTATTGTCAGGGTTTTGCGATGTGCATTGCTTTTGTGCACAGAGTGACTTGAAAAAGAAAAGTGAAGAAAAGTGATATTTGGTTGTTGAGTGGTTGGAGTGAAGGGAAAAAAATATGCGTGGAAGCATAGGGAATGCGCTCCCGGGTGAAGTAATTTGGTGAGTACGTTCCAGTTGAAGATTGTTTACAAGTGATTTGTGGTGATGCAAATTATGGTTTAGATGACGCATGGCTTCAAACATTTTGTGTATCCAAATAAAACATATTACATACTAAATACGTACAGGGCATCGTCTGCTGACCATTGCTGCGGGTATATCGTGGGAGTCCCAGGTACCCGGTTCAAGCTTTAGTTGGCGGCGGTGGCTCTTCTTGACCTTCTACCCCTGAGTAGTTAGTGTGAATCTGGGACGGGACTTGACAATTGGCAAATCAAAGTTGGCACTCGTGGAGAATAGAAGAACTATAACAGTGATGATGGTTTCAAAATTTTCCACGGGGAAGTATACGAATGCAATCTTAAAATGCTTTTATTTTGCAAATGGAACATTTTATTTAAATCTGGTTGCTGCTACAGTGGTAGAAAAGCTCAAATCTATGTATGTGTACACCTAAAAATCTGAAAAGAAATTATTTTTTTCTGTATTATTTGTCTATTGAGTAGTCCTTAAGTTTTCTACTAACATAGCATCAACCAGATTTAAATAAAATGTTCCATTTGCAAAATAAAAGCTTTTTAAGATTGCACTCGTATACCTCACCGTGTAAAATTTTGAAACCATCATCACTCTCATAGTTCTTCTATTCTCCACGAGTGCCAACTTTGATTTGCCAATCGGGTAGCGATTTCGAGCCAATTTTCTGTCAAATCCGAGCCAGTTTCTGATTGGTCGATTTGACAGTAGCAATCGTGGAATAAAAAGGATAGAGGGATCGCATCAATCTGGCTGGCAGTGATGCCGGAATCAATGTTGACATCAATGGCGTTGTTATTTGTTTATATTTGCGAAAGGAGAGTTGAAAAATTGAGTGCACTGCGTGTTTTAAGCGATGGATATTGTTGTTTGTATATGGTTATTTTTATTGTGTTGAGCAAAAATGATGTTCAAGCTGCTAGACTGCGGTAGAAACTCCGGATAAAATCCAAATTTAAAATAGAAAAATATTTTACATTCCTGGCATCATTGGTCTACTCCTTCAAGAACCACGCGCAACTTTCCGAAGGGCATTCTTCAAAAACATTAAGAAGTGTGAGAAGCTCGATTGGCAAATCAAAGTTGGCACTCGTGGAGAATAGAAGAACTATGAGAGTGATGATGGTTTCAAAATTTTCCACGGAGAGGTATACGAGTGCAATCTTAAAATGCTTTTATTTTGAAAATGGAGCGTTGAATTTAAATCTGGTTGTTGCTACAGTTGTAGAAAAGCTGAAATCTATGCATACACCTAAAAATCTGAAAAGAAATTATTTTTTCTATATTATATATCTATTGAGCAGTCCTTAAGTTTTCTACTAACGTAGCACTAACCAGATTTAAATAAAATGCTCCCATTTGCAAAATAAAGGCATTTTAAGATTGAACTCGTATACCTCACCGTGTAAAATTTTGAAACCATCATCACTTTCATAGTTCATCTATTCTCCACGAGTGCCAACTTTGATTTGCCAATTGTCATGTCCCGTCCCGGTGTAACAGCAGGCAGCCTGCTGGTGTTAGAAGCAGAAATGTTGGGCCTTATTACAAATGTCACTACACGGTGAAAACTTGTCACTTGTCGTCACGGTGAAGTGATTCCCACTTGATTTGTACGGCAATCACAGCTCTTATTCCGAGTATCACTTCCTTATCACCGTGTAGTGACACCCGTAATAAGGCCCGTTGTAAACATTGCTGTGCAAGTGAATGACGGCGTCACGTCAGCACAACATTCCATACTGCGAACAGTAGACGTGACATCACAGACAACAGCTGTTTCGTGTAAAAAGATAAACACTGCGGTGGAATACGAACAACACATTTCACATTCAACTATGTAATACCAATAAGTCAGTTGGTCAATAGTCAATAGGTCAGCCTTGTATAATTGACATCGCGCATTACCCTGACAATTTACAATTCGCGTTCACTCTATATCTCTTTACTCTTATGGTAAAATCCCATAAGAAATCGTCAGTCTGTGCGTGAAATCTTGTAGACATTTCCTTACCTTTTCACTCCTATGAAAAGTGTCGATATCACGACAATTTTGTTTTGACAGATCGATAGCCAACTATACCAGTTATACCACTGAGGCAATACAAAAAAGGGGCCAACTGTTAGAAAGTTATTTTGCATGCTGTTCCACATATCCCTAATAAAAAATAACCATAAACGAACGATAACCCAAATCATTGAACTATTCCACAAATGGTTTGGATGATACCCAGAACACGTCGTTAAGCAAATTAACCATACAATTTTTATTAGGGATGTTTTGTGATAACAGTCACATATTTGTTTAAAACTTGCAATGCTGCTTGGGTATTTAAATGAGACTGATATGGGTTTAAGGGTAGCGCAGGGAACGAACAATACGCACCAAAACAATAGTGTCTATCCACTACACAAATATTTAAACTAAGAGTTGGTGATGAGAATTTCGGACACAGTTTAAGTCTATAAACAATCGCATCTTTTTTTTTTTTTTAGATTTTTGTATATTATTTTCCTTCGTACACTTTCTTCCATCATCTGTGTGTAAAAAGTTGTATTATTTTCCCTAATTCCCTCTAATCCTTTTGCCGGAATTGATTTATGTACCTCTGCTGCTGCACAAACTGCTGCTGTTTATTTAGTTTTTATTTTCTTTTTCACCTTTCCCTAGAATCAGCATTCGAATGTTTTGGTTGTGGCATTTTTAATTATTATTTTCATTGTGAATTTTCTCTGATTTTAGGGTTGTTATCATCGATCTTTACATAAAAACATCAATTTAAAAACTGTAGGGCTTAGCTACGTCAGTCACAAGACTGAAGAAAATCCAGTAAACAAAAATAATTAATTTCGCAACATTTGAGGTTTTGGATTGTACAGAAAGTGGAAACAGACCCATCTTAAAAAATCCTTTATTTTTAGTCGGGAAATTGGAAGCAAATGTAATAATATAAATTATGTAAAATTAAAAACGGGAAAAAAATATTGGTTGCCTATAAGTTCCTTTGATGGAAAATGTACATCTCCACTTGATAGTAGTCCGTACAATGTCCTGTACGAAAATTTGGTTTAATACTAATTACAGCTAAGTAACTACTATTTACAATTCAAAAACAGAGGTTCGCATACCGATAGGGTCGTCTGCGAAGGATTCCTTCCCTGCGTAACGTGAGTTGAAGGGAAAGATGCCTTCCAAATTGCCATCAGAGGGTTGAGAATTTAAATTCCATTCGAGGATCATCAATTTCCAACATAGAAAGAGAGGACAGTGAAAAGAAAACGAAATCTGTGTTCCTTTCACCTTCCTCTCGGAGGAAATGTGCACTTATCAGAAACACCACAGCGTTCCAGACCAAAATAAAAAATAAAGGACTTTCCCGGATGCCCCGGTTCACGTTCCACAAGGAAATTTTACAAATCACAATGATTCTAAAAAATGTGCGACTCTTTATGGGTCTTTGACAATAAGTTAAAAAAAAAACCAAAACAAATCGTGCGCATCAAGTTACATCAACGCGGAAAAGAAGGAGTTTTTTTTTTTCTTAACAGACAGGGAAAACCCGGGAAAACAGAGCATTCCAGCTGACCCACGTTCTCACTTTTCCCTTTTCTTTCTTACCATCTAGTTCCAGTTTTAGCTTTCGCTATTATTTTTTTTCTTGTTTTTAATTTGTAATAAATTTATAACATGTTTTCTTTTTATCCTTCTTAACGCCACTTTCAATTAAACTTGTTCTGATTTTTGTTTTGTTTAAGTTTATTTAAATATGTCCAATTTTAGTTGCTCGAAACGGGAATCTATCCGCACGGTGTTTTCTCCCCCCTCTCTATCTTTCTCCATCTCACAGCAGAGCAGTGTGCAAATTACCACTTTTTTTTTACTTTGTGTTACATGCGCACAAAGTTTTTCACAAATATCGATAAACCGATGGCGTATCCTTTTGTTTAGCAGCTTTTTTGTTTTGTTCTGTTCGTTTTTTTTTTTGTTTTGTTTGGTTTTCAAAATAAAAGAAAGCTTATTTTCCTGTTTTGGGTTGTTTTTTTTTTGCGTTTTTTTTTTTGTTCAAAACAATAGTATTGTTTTACAAATTTTATTTTCAAATTAGCATCTTTCACTTTCCACATAGTAACACTGTAACTAAACTTGCTGTGTTCCTATCTGCGGCCTTGGAAAAGTTTGACACTAGATCTCACCTCCTAGCAGTTGTAATAGTATGATTTTTGTTTAGTAGTTATAGCAGAGTAAGACTTATCCATATTCAGTTTTCCTCTTGTTTATCTTTTTTTCTCATTAAATTACAGCTTCAATTATTATGCAATATAATAATTAAAATGGTTACCGTTTTCTAACCACTTGTCCCGAAACACTTATTCTCTTCTTTGCTTAACAAAGAACTTGATTTTTGGATATCTTTTTGTTGATTTTCTTCGTTTTAAACTATCGTCCTCTTCTCTTCTCTTCTTTCCCTCTCCTCTTCTCATTCCTCGGTTTTCGTTAAGTTATCAAATTATTACCTCTAGTTACACATGTATTTATAAGAATTATGTATAATTTGTTGTTTCAGTTGCTGGTTGTGGTTGTGTAGTAGCAGCTAGCGAGACTGATAACATCGTTGACATTCCGTCCTCGTCGCTGTTGTCGTCGTTGTTGTCGCTGCCAACAACGGCGTCGCAACGAGATTCGTCGTGATGATGTTGGTTATGGTTCTGATGGTGGTGGTGCTGGTGGTTGTGGTGGCTATTGGGGAACAGCAGTAATTCCTGACGATGGCAGTGGGCCTGCCTGTGGTGGTGATTATGATGCTATGCCACTTTGACCTTCTTCACCGCCGGACTATCACTGTCTTCGTCATCTTCATCGTCCGAGTCACCCTCGTAATCCACCAAGCGCTGTAATTAGGAAAGGAAACGGTGTTAGCGAACTCAACATTTATCCAAATTTTGCAAAATCTAAATCCAGTGTCTACGAATGCCGTAACATTGATCGATTCTCTTCGTCGACTTTCTCTTTCGTTAATAACTTGAGCACAGAACCATTTCTTGTTGTGTTTATCGTGTTACATGCTTCTTTTATCGATCTGTGTGCTGAAAATACCTGGGAATGTCTTGGGGATACAAAGAGAAAGTCTACGACGAGAATCTGTCAATGTTACTTAGGACATAATGCAATGTTCAGCTTGAATTTTTGAGGAAGGTACGAATCGAATCGAGCATTCCATTTACCAAACTCATCCGTTGATGAAGGGCGGTGAGGAGTGTTTCCCCTAGCCACCACTGGTAAAATGAATGACCGTCGATTTGCACATGTACCTCCGATGTGCAGAAACAGTTATATCGATCGTTACACACTAAAGTCGCCATCTGACGTTAGCTTTACTGTTCTTAATTTTGTTAGTCAATGTACTTGTGCATGTTGATATGCTAACCTATTATGCCAAACGACTAAGAAGGCCAAACGACTATTATAGGCTATAAAAAAATTTGTCGAGTTTTTTTTTATTTATTCAAAGGGGGGATGTTTCTCAGAGTCTTAAATTATGTTAATCATCGATCGAGTTTCCACTTGCTGCAATTACGGCCTCCACAAGCTTCCGGAATGCACGGCAGGTTCTAATAATGTAGTCTGGATTCATTTCTCTCCAGGTACGGGTCAATGTTTGTCTGAGGCTTGCTGTACTCGGGTGGCGTTTAGAACAGGCCTTGGCCTTCACGACGCGCCATATTGAGTAATCCAGCGGATTAAGATCGGGGCTGGATGGCGGCCACATATCCTTCGCCCAGAACGGAAGATGTTCCTGCAACCACTTCTGACTGTGGTTCGAGGTGTGGCACGGAGCCCCATCTTGTTGAAATACAACATTTGGCTTCGGACCGTACTGTTCTTTGATCCACAGAAGAACATAATTACTTAAAATCCCGATGTAGACCTCCGTGTTGACCTTGTCGCCTTCTGGAATGAACACCGGGTCCATTTTTTTTTTGCCAATGGAAGCCACCAATCCAAACACCATAGCGCTAGCAGGATGCTTGGTCAGATACACGTTCTAGTGCTCGTCGGCCACCTCTTTTACCGGAAGAGAACTAATATACCGGTCGGTTCTGGAATTTGATACGGGATCGACGGTAAACATTCTCTCGTCGGTGAACCGGATTTTTTCGCTTAAGGAAGTTCAAGATTTGTTTGCATCGTTCGACTCGTAGCTCCCGGATGCGGTTGGTAATCATGTGAGTTTTTTTCGTGCCCTCGACTTCACCCGCAATCTTCCTTTACGATCTTCCGTGCCGTAAAGTCGCTGATCCCGTGTTCCTTTGCCATTTTCCTTATTGAACGCACTGGATTCACCCGAATCTTCCTTTTGATAGCAGCGATAACCCTCGGAACCCGAGCTGACCTCTGACGACCTGTGGCCACCTTCGCGGATAGTTGTCCTTTCTTTTCTCGGTCTAAAACCCTTTTGACAGTCCACCGGGACACTCCCACGGCGATTGAAATGAATCACGAATACGCTGCCACTTCGTCATGGTGCAGCTGTCAAACTAAGCATTTTCTTTTATACACAGCCTACTAACGGTATGAGCTATAGGTTATGTGCATGCAAAGAAAACCAAGGTATTGTATGCACAGGTAAAACGAGAACCTTATTTGTACGATGGTGCAAACATTATCACGCATAAGGTAAACCAAACGTGCCACAACCCCCTAGTCCTCACGGCAGAGATGCTGGCTTATTTATTTCTTTATTTATCATAGTCCCAATGATGGTTTAACTTACCATTAAATTAAAGTCATAAATTGAAACTACACAACATTAAAACATGATCATTGCCGATTTACATTTCTAGAGAAGAATGAAGAGAAACGTCTCCGAAGTGTTTGTCAGTCCGCCTATTGCACCGTTGATTGCATAGTTTGTCCGACGTAGTGGCATTCTCAGCATAATATTGCTACAAAGCATTCGGGTTTGGACGTTAATGTTCACTTGCTTCAAGATCGGTGCAATCAATTCTGCCATGTAACGTGTCCGCGACAAGCAGGGCTTTTGAAGTATCTCTTCTGGTGCGAAGAGGCAGCAACTTTCATAGCTGGGCAAATGGGTCTCTACATGGTAACATTCTCAAAGCGTATCGCAACAAGCGGCGACTCGACTCTCGCAGTACCGTTGTTGTAGTTCGGACAAACCAAACCACAGAATAATTTTCAAGAATGGAACGTATCAAGGAGCAATACAGGGACTTGAGGCAATGGATGTCGGAGAAATTCTTAACTGTTCTGAAGATAAAACCCAGTGTCCTTGACGACATGCCAACGACGAACGAGATGTGTTGCTTGTATGTAAGTTGAGGGTCCAGGATGACACCTCGATCTTTCACATGGGTCACTCGTTACATAATGGTGTCCCGGAGAGCATAGTGGAAAATAACTGGTTCTTTCTTCTGAATAAAGGTGATGACTAAACATTTCACAGGATTCACCGTCATTCGGTTAAAATGGCACCAGCTGGCAAATGCTTCAAACTAACGTTGGAGGAATTGACAATCATCGATCGAGCAAATCCGTGAATAGATTTTCAGATCGTCTGCATACTATAGTCGTGGATCTTCGATAACTAAATTAACGTGATTGAAATTAAAGTAAGAAGATCAACGATCCCATATGACTTCCTTGAGGTATTCCTGACGTAGCTTCGGAAATGTCGGACTGGCAGTCACCAACTGATAATCGGCAAGATATGAGCGAAACCATCACAAGAGATTTCCGCTAAGCCCGGGTCTATCCAATTTAGCGATCGCGATGGCGAGATTTATCTTATCGAAGGCAGCGGACAAGTCAGTGTAGATGACATCTATTTGTGACCCTTCAACCATACTTTGCCTTACACAGTAGATTCGTGATAGTAGATTTCCAGTTTGATGGAAAAATTCCACACGAGATAGACAATTCGAACAGATGTTGTAGCGGTGACAGTAAGTTAGCGATATGCTTCTTCAGAAAGACTGAAGGAACACCATCCGGACCAAGGTTGAAGGAAGGCTTTGAGGCCTATTCTGCTTCGCGAATGAGGTGAGGTGACTCGCTGTCAATAATGATGTAACAAAAGTCACCGCAAGTGAGTTGATTCTCCATTTGATTTGCACGGAAAATCACCTCACTCGCGGCGCAGAATAAGGGGGTTTAGTTTTAGTCGTTATCACTTCGGCGTTGAAAGTGGTACGTTGCTCGTTGCTAGGGTCACGTATTCGTTGGTTAAGCTCTCGTCAGAGAAGACACTTGCAAACTTGTTATAGAAAAAACGGCAGACCTCCTGTGGAGTGGAAGCGACTTCACTGTTCAATATCATGGTAGACCGAACTCTCTGCGTGCTCCTTCACGTACTTCCAGAAATACTTCGGGTGCGACTTGAATTTCATTTGAATCCCTCGCAGATAATGCAACGACGACTGACTCGCTTGAACTGGTAATTGAGCTTAACGTAGTGATGTTTCAGCGACATCGTGCGATATTTAGTGAATATCCTCAACGCGGCTCTCTTGATCGATTTCAGCCCTTTTCAATTCGTTCGTCTGCCAACGGTGGTGCGATGCAATCTAGTGAACGCTCTTAGGGACGCGTCTGTCAATGACATAAACCAAAACATGTGAAAGAGTTGGAGCAACGGTTTCGACGTTATCGGAATCGAGTATGTTTTCCCAATCAATGCTTGACAGCACATCGGCGATGCTACGATGATCGGGTTTCCGGAAATTGTAAGACACCGTAGAGGAGATGGCTTCGAAATCTTGGATGTTATTGGGGGTTATTCCGAGAGTCGAAGTGACTATTGTTTATTTGTTTATTTGGTTCTACATCAACAGACAGGGTTTAGTCCTAATGATGGATTAAGCAATACTAGGAAATACAATATAGTCAAGAAGTAACAAGCTGCAAAGGTCGTGAAGTCCAACTTAATTCCTAATTCTTAAAAATATATCACGAAATCTCTGACGCAGCGTCTCGCGTGCCAAGTGAAAATCAAATAACGAAGCAACACGATTGAAAACCCTTTGTAGCCCATTGATGGCACCATACGAACTATAGTTTGTACGACGAAAAGGTATCCTCAGCATTGCGTTGTTACGGAATGCTCGTGGTTGAACGTTAACGTCGATTTGTTGTAGAATAGAATGACAATCGATTCTGCCCTGTAGAATGTCTGCCACAAACAGGGCCCTTGTCGTATCTCTTCGACTCCACAAAGGATCCAGGTAAATTAACTGGCACCGACTTTCGTAGCTTGGAAGGCGATAAGGATCCCTCCAAGGCAATCGTCGAAGTGCAAACCAGATGAATCGTCGTTGAATAGACTCTACTATTTGTATACTGTTTTGGTAATTGGGATTCCATACAGGCCAGCAGTATTCTAACACCGACCGGACGAGGGAGCAGTATATGTCCGTGAAACTTTTAACTATCCTGAAAATGAAGCCGAGCGTTCTGGATGCCTTGTCGATCACGTACGAGATATGCTGGCTGTATGTGAGTTGACAATCTAAGATGACTCCCAGTTCCTTAATGTGATTCACACGATGTACGTCAACGCCTTCTAGGATATAACTGAATGTAATTGGATGTTTCTTCTGTGAGAACGTGATTACTGAACATTTTGTTGGATTTACAACCATGCGGTTCAGTTGGCATCAATTAGCAAAAGCGTTGAGTTGGAGTTGGAGAAGGTGGCAGTCAGCGATGACTCGGATTCGGAGATAGATTTTCATGTCGTCTGCGCACGGCAGTCGTGGACCGTCGAGGACGAAATTGACGTCGTTGAAATACACACGGGAAAAAATCCGTTCCGAAATTCGTCAACCTCCAGTCTCGATTTTCGGAACAAGTAAATTTTTCGTTTACGAAA